GTCATATGATTATTAAGTGCTAATAAGTTACTAGATTAGATAGACATAATTAACATTTTCTAAAAACTTTATCCTCTTTGCCCCGCAATTTGGCATTAGGAGTTATGGATCCGATTTTTTTTTTTTTTTTTGTTTATATTTTTGAAAAGCAAATATATTAAGTTGAGCATAAGGGGTCTCAGCCCATTACAAAAGTATCAATTCCACCTTAAAAGCTAACTATAATATGCTAACTACACGCAAAAGCACACCATCAGGAGATCTTATTAACACCATTTAAAGCATGTTTGGTGAACCTTGTAAAGGTTTTTATTTTATTTTATTTTTTTATTGTTTATGAGTGATAAGTTTAAATTTTTATTGGGGAGAAAATTTAAAAATTGCTTTTAGAAATAGAAAAAAAAAAGTAAAAAGTGAGTAAAAAAGAAGTTTATAAAAAATACAAATTTGAAACTTTTCAAAATTTACTGTTTAAGGTTTTTTTTAAATTAAAAAAAATAAAAAATATAAGTTTTTAAGAGAAAAATTTAAAGTTATAAAATATGAATAATGTAAAAAAACTGAAATTTTTACAAGTTTTACCAAACATGCTTCACCAAACATGCTCATTTTCCTGCACAATCCTTTAGGCTATCAACTGAATTCCGACTCCAATAAGCCAAGGAAAACCCGCAGTTGAGAGTCCTCTCTTTAATCCATTGGAAAGATCTAGCTTGGATCAAATCAAAGGAACGTTCAGCTTCCACACCACCTCCATGGAACACAGCCCGGTTTGTAGCCAACTAAATCGACCAAACACATGCCATCCATACCACATCCCACCCTCTTTTGACTATATCAGATTTGAAAAGATTTTCATGCCGCGCAAATGCATTCCGGCAGCTTTCATCAGCCACAGTCCTTATTCCCCACCATCTATAGCATGTGGCCCACAGAGAGAAGGCAAACTTACACTGCAAAAGTAGGCGAGAAGAACTTTCAACCTCCTCCTTACAAAAACAGCATTTTTGTCATTTCAGGATCGATTAAAATTCCTCTTCTCAACAGATTTAATTTTGTTGGACATCTATCTTGAATCAATTGCCATGAGAAAGCTGCAACGTTACTAAAGACAAGTCCGTTCCAAAAATTCTTCTAACCACATGAGCATTTTCTCCCACTCGGAAATAATAGAATAGCCTGACTTTGTAGAGTAGAAGCCAACCTCGGAAAGTTGCCATAGCCAATATCCATCATTCTTTTTTCTCACTAATTTAACAGTGTTTAATTTTTCCAGCACAAGATCCGATTACCCTACCATTTCCAGCACAGAGTTATGGATCCGATCGACTACCCTACCTTTTCTGCCTCTTTTTTTATTGAAGAAGTTAGTTGTTTGTCATCCTATGATTTAAATCCTTAACTGTAAGTCTATTTTAACGTTTTTAAATTAATAAATGTCATTTAAAAAATTTAAATTAATAAATATTAATTTAATCAAATTCTTATTGATTTACGCCTCTATCAATTCCCATAGATTATTTTCCCATGAACCGAACAAGATTTTGGAGTGTGCAACTTAACGGGTGGCTAAAGGTGTGACCCAAGGTCTAGGGTTGTTTAGGATGTGACTTGAGGTCCAGAGGGCTTAGTGTACTAGGCACTATTTTTCTTCATGAACCAAAAAAAGAAAAGAAAGATATGTTCCACTCACAAGAACTTATTTTTTAGGAAGCAAACGTACATCATCCATAAGTTTTCTGGGTTGAATTTGTTACTAAGTAAAGCTCTATTTCGTATAATTATGATTTTGAGATTTTATTTGTATTTTTATAAATTTTAGTATTATTAAAAATTTCAATTAAAAATAAAATTTCAAAATTAAAAATTTATTTAAAATAAATTTAATGTTGGCAACTTAAATTATTTAGTTTCTAATATTATTAAAAACTATTTTTATTTGACTACTGGGAGTTCATCTTTTATTTTTTTATTTTTTTTATTTTTTCCTCCTCTAATTCATCCCTCTCCATCCTTCACATCCCATATTTTATTCATTTTGTTCTTTTCATTGCCGCGAGACTACTCAAAATCTGTGGCGAAATTTTGTCTTTGTCTTCTTTAAATTGCAGGCTTGCAGCGGCTCTATCCATATAAAGAAAAAAAATTGCAGCAGCTGTTTGACTTATATTTGGTTTGAAGAACTGAGAATATTATAATTTAATTGATTAAAAAATTCTTTGTTCCATTTTCTTTAAACTGTACATGTTATTAGCGTAAAGATTAGGGTTGGCTTGTCAACACCAAAGCATCTAGTTTTAGATTGCTCGTTTTAGATTGCTCAGTGTTCGGTAGCTGTACAACATCAAAACATGAATCATTATGTGTTCAAAAGAAAGGATGTATTAGAGCAAATATTGGTGGCCGCTACTTCGCCCTCTCAGACTGGATGCAAGAATCAAAAATAGTCCATGAAATCTGTATTTGCAAGAAAAAATGTAAGTAGAAGATAGAAAAAATGAAAGTTGCGTTTTTATTTTATTTTATTGAGCTAATGTCTTGATAATTTTGTATATTCGTAGATAAAAATTTAAAAATACCCAATAATAATCTTGTAAAAACCAAATGCATTTTAACGTGAAGTCCAATAAAAAACTCAACCACAATGATATACAATCATCAACAAATCAACAAACTACTTAATTTTCTTCCAATAAATAAAAGCCCATCTGCAGCAGGTTCATTACACTGCTCAGATAGTGTTTTATATCAATCTAAATCTAAACTTCCTCGATTGCTCCCTAACTCGAATGGGTGACTGCCAAGGCAGAATCTATCCACTTGAGGCCATAAGAGCAAAGTAGCGTGTTAACCGTTCCTAACCGTTTCCATTATCAACTTAGTTCTCCATCAGCGATGTAGCAAAGCAAAACCAAGAAAACCGATGTCTCCTCGTGAGGACGAGATTTTCCCATTTCCCCGATTGAAGAAATTAAAGCATGGAAAAGAGAGAAAGAAAACTGAAAAAAAGACATATTAAAATATTATTGAATGTTATGAAACTGTTACATATGGAGTTCTGATATAGAGGTTTAAGTAACTTATTAATCAATAAATTCTAGATCTACCATGATATATAACAATAATATTAAATCTAATATTTGCTCTTATAATTACATGAATCATATCTCATAATATTTTTATCATCCCCTCAATCTCAAGGTGATTTTACCACCTAGAGTTTTTTTTTTTTTTTTGAAAAGCAAATGAATTTTATTGTGAGTACAAGGGGTACTCAAACCCTTAAATATCAATATATGAAATTACATGTAGACAATGTGGTCAAGACAAAATCACCCAACAGTCCAAAAAACAAACCCAAGAAACAAATACTCCCATCAAGTCTCTATATCCCGTTTGTCAAGCATCTCACTGGATTAGAAATCCATTCCATGTAGGAGAAATTTTCCAAATTCAACAGATTTCTAACCTAGTGAAATGACCGTGGTTGAACTAGTTCAAATAGCCTATCCTCATTTAACTTCCTATGTTGGAAAGCAGTTTCATTTCTGCTTAACCATAATGACCAAACTACAGTAAACCATAACATGCCCCATCCCTTTTTTAAGCTCTTTGATCCCCTGTGCCATCTATGTTGGGTGAAAACATCAATACAAGTGTTCCCTAAGACATAATATAATCCCCACCAATTAAGACATTTTGTCCATAAATTGTAGGAGATGCTGCAAGCTAGAAAGAGATGTTCTGTATCTTCGGGAAGTTGATCATACCAAAAGCATTTTATATTTTGATTAGCATCCAAAATTCCACGCTTTGCTAAATTAACCTTTGTAGAAATTCTATCTAAGAGTAGTTGCCATGAGAAAGCACTCACTTTTGGTGGGACTTGCGACTCCCATATTTTTGTGTACTCCAGCAGCCTATTCTCTTCTTTTTTTGCTAGTTGCAAATAGGCTGTCCTTGTGGTATATCTTCCCCTGGTCTCTAGACTCCACCACCAAGTGTCCGTTGCGCCTTGCACTAGTTTTTTGTGTTTTATTGTCT